CACGGCAAACACTTGTGGCAGTTGGTCAACACGACAATATATGTATAATTATATATATATGTGTATATGTATGTATAAGTATATATCTTCATGCTTGGAGACCTTTTTCATTAGCCGAGCTGCGAAATGGCTATCATTAGGTGGCTCTGGGTGTCAGATTGCAATTGTGGCCCTGGGCCGCCTTGATTTTCTAATCTATTGAGGGAAAAGTATAGCATTACCTGTCGCATTATGCAAACTTGGCCGGCACACCTGTGACGTCAGTGAGTCAGCAGCCAGCGGTTTCTGTTGAGTTGGCCAAAAAGCTTAAAATATTTTCAGCTTACGCGGCAGAATCTTCACTTCTGACATGCTTCTGTTCGAAAGTTTTGACAGGCGCCATTTCCCTGGGGTGCCTTTCAATTACTTGAATATATATAGATGTCTAAAATGAATACGCTCGGAATTTCGCATCACGTGAGGGCGTTCGGATTTGGCTCAATTTCTCAAATTTGCATGCGAATTGAAGGCACCCTTGAACTCCAAGGCCTCGCGAAGCACCCACTGAATACGCCCCCAATTTAGGCGGTCCACGAGTATTTCATAATTCGCAGCGCTCCTTAACAGAATAAGCGAACCTTGAGCAGCTGATTCTCGCCAAATTTCAGAATCAACCTATTCTATACTATTGTATATATACTATTGTTTATGACTGGGTTCATAGCTCATCTCGTGTCATAAAATCGTTTAGAACGAGCGGAACAAATTGATGAAAATTGTATCGGGTTACGGCTTAAAATAGAATGTTATAATTGGAACTCGTATATCAACTGAGTTCTTTTCGAGACTTTTCAGTTCATAATTCAGTTATTAATAGAATGGTATGGTATGGTATGTACATATGTATATACCTGTGCGTAAGTCGGAGAAAGAAAGGCCTTACTACTAAGTCAAAGGAATAGCTTAGTAGTAAGACCTTTCCCACCTCAACTAGTTCCTAATATAAATGTTTAACAAGACAAAAAGGCTATAGTCGAGTTCCCCGACTATCAGGTACCCGTTACTCAGCTGCTGGAAGTGCAAAAAAGAAAGTTTACCGTTTTCTGGAATATCGGTAGAAAATGGGCAATTTTTTCCCTTCTGCCTATTACATACTTTTCAACAAATCTAGTATACCCTTTTACTATACGAGTACAAAAAAATTAAATTAAAAATTTATTTTTAATTTGAATGCAGATTTTTAGAGAATTGCGCCAGAAACATTTAGAGGTATGCCACTTCAAAATCCGATTAAGATAAGTTGAGTTATGGAGTATAAAACTTCAGCCTTAGGACATTTTTGAATTTTTTTGAATTTCTACTTCATCATAACATCAGAAAAATTACAAAAAATCGAAAAAAAAAATAAATTTCTAAATTTGAATGCAGATTTTTAGAGAATTGCGCCAGAAACATTTAGAGGTATGCCACTTCAAAATCCGATTAAGATAAGTTGAGTTATGGAGCATAGAACTTCAGCCTTAGGACATTTTTGAATTTTTTTGAATTTCTACTTCATCATAACATCAGAAAAATTACAAAAAATCGAAAAAAAAAATAAATTTCTAAATTTGAATGCAGATTTTTAGAGAATTGCGCCAGAAACATTTAGAGGTATGCCACTTCAAAATCCGATTAAGATAAGTTGAGTTATGGAGTATAGAACTTCAGCCTTAGGACATTTTTGAATTTTTTTGAATTTCTACTTCATCATAACATCAGAAAAATTACAAAAAATCTAAAAAAAAATAAATTTCTAAATTTGAATGCAGACTTTTAGAGAATTGCGCCAGAAACATTTAGAGGTATGCCACTTCAAAATCCGATTAAGATAAGTTGAGTTATGGAGTTTAGAACTTCAGCAGTGGGACATTTTTTAATTTTTTTGAGTTCCTACAACATCATACATCAAAAAAATGACAATAAAACTAAAAAAAAATAAATTTCTAAATTTGAATGCAGATTTTTAGAGAATTGCGCCAGAAACATTTAGAGGTATGCCACTTTAAAATCCGATTAAGATAAGTTGAGTTATGGAGCTTAGAACTTCAGCTTTGGGACATTTTTTAATTTGTTTGAAATTCTACAACATCATACATAAAAAAAATGACAAAAAAACTAAAAAAAAATTAATTTCTAAATTTGAATGCAGATTATTAGAGAATTGCGCCAGAAACATTTAGAGGTATTCCACTTCAAAATCCGATTAAGATAAGTTGAGTTATGGAGTATGGAACTTCAGCCTTAGGACATTTTTGAATTTTTTTGAATTTCTACTTCATCATAACATCAGAAAAATTACAAAAAATCTAAAAAAAAATAAATTTCTAAATTTGAATGCAGACTTTTAGAGAATTGCGCCAGAAACATTTAGAGGTATGCCACTTCAAAATCCGATTAAGATAAGTTGAGTTATGGAGTTTAGAACTTCAGCAGTGGGACATTTTTTAATTTTTTTGAGTTCCTACAACATCATACATCAAAAAAATGACAATAAAACTAAAAAAAAATAAATTTCTAAATTTGAATGCAGATTTTTAGAGAATTGCGCCAGAAACATTTAGAGGTATGCCACTTCAAATCCGATTAAGATAAGTTGAGTTATGGAGTATGGAACTTCAGCCTTAGGAAATTTTTGAATTTTTTTGAATTTCTACTTCATCATAACATCAGAAAAATTACAAAAAATCTAAAAAAAAATAAATTTCTAAATTTGAATGCAGACTTTTAGAGAATTGCGCCAGAAACATTTAGAGGTATGCCACTTCAAAATCCGATTAAGATAAGTTGAGTTATGGAGTTTAGAACTTCAGCAGTGGGACATTTTTTAATTTTTTTGAGTTCCTACAACATCATACATAAAAAAAATGACAATAAAACTAAAAAAAAATAAATTTCTAAATTTGAATGCAGATTTTTAGAGAATTGCGCCAGAAACATTTAGAGGTATGCCACTTCAAAATCCGATTAAGATAAGTTGAGTTATGGAGTATGGAACTTCAGCCTTAGGAAATTTTTGAATTTTTTTGAATTTCTACTTCATCATAACATCAGAAAAATTACAAAAAATCTAAAAAAAAATAAATTTCTAAATTTGAATGCAGACTTTTAGAGAATTGCGCCAGAAACATTTAGAGGTATGCCACTTCAAAATCCGATTAAGATAAGTTGAGTTATGGAGTTTAGAACTTCAGCAGTGGGACATTTTTTAATTTTTTTGAGTTCCTACAACATCATACATAAAAAAAATGACAATAAAACTAAAAAAAAATAAATTTCTAAATTTGAATGCAGATTTTTAGAGAATTGCGCCAGAAACATTTAGAGGTATGCCACTTCAAAATCCGATTAAGATAAGTTGAGTTATGGAGTTTAGAACTTCAGCAGTGGGACATTTTTTAATTTTTTTGAGTTCCTACAACATCATACATAAAAAAAATGACAATAAAACTAAAAAAAAATAAATTTCTAAATTTGAATGCAGATTTTTAGAGAATTGCGCCAGAAACATTTAGAGGTATGCCACTTCAAAATCCGATTAAGATAAGTTGAGTTATGGAGTTTAGAACTTCAGCAGTGGGACATTTTTTAATTTTTTTGAGTTCCTACAACATCATACATAAAAAAAATGACAATAAAACTAAAAAAAAATAAATTTCTAAATTTGAATGCAGATTTTTAGAGAATTGCGCCAGAAACATTTAGAGGTATGCCACTTCAAAATCCGATTAAGATAAGTTGAGTTATGGAGTTTAGAACTTCAGCAGTGGGACATTTTTTAATTTTTTTGAGTTCCTACAACATCATACATAAAAAAAATGACAATAAAACTAAAAAAAAATAAATTTCTAAATTTGAATGCAGATTTTTAGAGAATTGCGCCAGAAACATTTAGAGGTATGCCACTTCAAAATCCGATTAAGATAAGTTCAGTTATGGAGTATAGGACTTCAGCCTTGGGGCATTTTGTGGACGTTAGAGTGGGCGTGGCAACATTTGCGCTGCGACTATGTCTTTGGAAGCTGCATGCTTAATCTTAACATTCTAGCTTTTGTAGTTCCTGAGATCGAAGCGTTCGTACGGAAAGACGGACGGGTAGACTGATGTGGCCAGTACGATTCGGCTACTGATCCTGATCAAGAGAATATATACTTTATATGGTGGGAAACGTTTCCTTCTGCCTGTTACATACTTTCCAACGAATCTATTATATCCCTTTACTCTGCAAGTAACGGGTATAAAAATTTTTTAAAATGGATAAATGTATTGAAATGATACAAAATGTTCTAGTGTTAGGTACTCTATGGATCCTAAATCCCCGAAGAACTATGCGTAGCGCAGCGCAAGATCAAAAGCATCGCAGAGCAACTGTCAAATGTGATAAATCAAGTGTAATTGAAATAAGTGCAAATAAGCCAACGCCAGTAACAATAACAACAATGACGGAAGAGAGCGGAAGAGTAAACACTGAGCGAAAGAGAGGGCACTTGACGAAGCCGAAAATGAAAGCAGAACCCCTTTGTGATGGATGGACAGGGGGAGGGGAGAGCAGTACAAGCCTATGCTCGGGTTAGGCAGCACTCATAAAAATATCTCAAAAGAATGGTCATTTATCTTTAAAATGGTCATTTGCAAATTTAAAAAAAATTATAAATTAAGGAGAGGTATTTTTCCGAGATTATAAGACAGTCACTGGTCGATTAACGTTTTATTTGGAAACTTTTCTGCCAATTGGTAACCTTTTATTCGATTTTGTATACTATTTTTTTGTATCCATAATTTTACTCGTTATATTACTCGGACATTCGACTAGGTGGACTTCTACCACTATTTTAAATCAGTTGCAACTAAGTTCTTTTGAATACTATCAATTCATGAGAAAATATTTTTGAATTTCATTAAATGTTTTTTGCAAAGCTATATACACTTTTTCACCTGGCATTTTGTTGAGTGTAAGAACGGTGGATCGGTCGAGTTGGCTGTTGGATTTTGAGTGCACTTGCAGTGGCCGCCGGGAAAGCATAAATGCGAATAATGAGCAAAGCGCGGCCAGCGAGAGATAACTGATGATGAAGATGGAAAGCGAATGTGAATGTGAATGTGAATATCAGGAAATTTCATTCCATTTGAGCGCTTGTTTACCTTCTTCTTTGCCGCGCTGCTTCGCCTCGCACTCGAATTCGCTGCTGCTGCGCCGCGACTGCGCTGCGACTGCGAGTGCATTAAAACCTACAAAATAGGGTAAAAAACGGCGGACGGCAGTTAGTAACGCTTGAGCTTTCGACCGCATATAGACGCCCGATCCGAGTCACGATCGGCGGCAAAGAGTAAAGCCAAGCACCGAAAAGGGCACGCGACAATCAAAAGCGCAGCGCAGAGCAGCTGCAACAAGTGGTCAAGGCAACGCGATCCCGCTATTTAATTGAATAGATCGGCTCTCCGCCCCCCGATCTCGCCCATTATCCATTATCCCAAGCGGCGCAAAACTATGCGATTAACGAGGAAAATTTCACATTTTTCCCGGCTTTCGTTTTAAAGAAGCTCGCGAGTGTATGCGTACTGCGATTTACGTAATAATACGCCTTATTTTCCGCGAATACATACCTACCTATATACTGGTTGAGTGTCACGTTTCGCGAAACCCCTGAACTCTTAACATTTCCCTTCCCAGGATGGCCTACAATCCCAACAACAGCGCCGACGACACCGCATACGAGGATGAGTATGTGTCCAGGGTGGGGGGCACGAAAATAAATTGTGTTCTAGTATTAAGAAGCTTGTCAGCGGTTCACCTTCCCTACAGCGCAACAAACCTATGGCTAAAAACCTAGTAGTGTGATTTGTAAAACACCATTAAAAAGCTGAGACCTTATACCATATTTCAGTTAATTTATTGGGTGCACCTTTTTTATATTTATGCATTTTCCAACGTACTCATTATATTTTTTGATGTGTAGCACCCTTCGAATAACCGACAGATTGCCGGAAACTTCAGTGGAGCGTAAAACTCGTTTGGCTCCGGCTAATGATAGCTGTCTGCCTTATACACAGGACATCCTGGTGCTCGTGGGTGTCCTTTCCGTTGGCTGAATCAATCTTTGGCATGGACACTTGTCCTCACTTCAGCGGAAAGCGAAAGCCGTGACATGAAGTAGCTGTTCACAGTATTAAGAGCCATCAGCAAAATCATTTAATCATTGCGTTGAGGAGGCGGCAACTGCTTGACAAATTCTTTCATGTTATGAGAAAGTTCCCACATGCTCCCCTTAAATTTCCACTTATTTTGTATGGATTAAAGTGGAGCTAACGATGTGATGAGCTGCAATTGGCTTCAACAAGCTAAGAAGGCTAAGGGGATTAAAGTAAACCACTAATGAAATTTTGTTACTATCCAGCAAGGCATGTTTCAGATTTTGTTAGTGATGTAATATCATTTTTCAGACCTAAAGCCAATCCGAATGTTAGTCAATTAGGTTCTCTTGTGAATCGAAAATGCTTTTTTTCGCCCCAACACGGCGGCCAATCAAAGAACTTATGAGTTATGAACGAGCTGTGAAAACCACAGCTGTCTAAGCTGATAATTGCAATTGAGGCAAGTTCAAGCAAAAATGTCTGCCTCGCTATGTGGCTACATACATATGTATATGCCATATGAAGTCGGGTATATATGGCTGCGTGGAAAATCAGTGTCAGCATTACTTTGGCGGTCTTTGTTTCTGATTCTGTTTTTATTTATGACATGACTACAGCGCGTCCGTCCATCACGACGGCTAATTGAAAGTTAAGTAAATATAATTTATGACTTATTTCGAGCACTTTTTATCGTTCTAAGGCAGGTCTAAGTAAATTTAGTCAAGCCGACTGAATTAAGATTTGTGTGCCCACTTGAACCAAGTGCACAAATTGCATTTATTTAGCCCGCACACGTGATGCGATTCCCAATGCACTACAAGCGCTTTTTTTTCCACCGAGGAACCTTCTTCCAATCAAGTTGGTGGACCTCAGCTGTCTGGATCCCAGTCATTATGGCAAAGAGTCATTAAAGACGCATTTGAAATGGAAAACAATATTTTATGACCACTATAAATAGACATCTCTCTTTGGTCCGATGACTTTTTCCTCTGATAACGACCTTTGGGCGCTCCGACTTATAGAGCTTGTCGCATCTGGCATTGCGCTTTAATTGAGCTCGGCTACTCAGATTCTTGGAAGTGATTTACAAATCTGTATTGAAGATGGCTGGTTTATGTGGAAATTAGAATGTGGAATTGTCATCGTTCTTAGTTATCTTGCGGACTACGTGACGTGGACAACGTGGCTCATGAGTTCCCCGTCATAATTAGCAAGATATTTTCAAGTGAAGATATTTCATATTTTCTTTAGAAGTTTATTATCGTTCGCTTAACCCTTCTTATGCACTGACGCTCTATCTAAAGTAATTTCAATCTTCTTATATCGTCTATAATTTCCCCACTTTTCTATTCGTTAAGCAAATGGCCAAATACATTTATCAAAATCCGATTTTATTGCTAGCTGCCTAAGAGCCCTTTCAGATTTGTTGTCAATCAGAATCCTTTCGAGCTAAGCAGATTTTCATTCAGTTTCGCAGCCACAAGTGAGTTTCCACTTCATGTGGCACCGACTGAGACCCTCGAGAAATCCCTTTTAGGGTAAACAACTTCGATTTAAAGTCTTCATAAGAGTCAAATCAAATAAATACAAATTGTTGCACGCACGAGCTAGGGAAATAATACTTGTATGTTAAGGCGTTATGGTGCGGGGCAAAAAATCAATATGGATGTGCTAAAAAAATTTATTGAATGTTTTTGGCGGTGGGGCGGACGACGAAATGAGCCACGCCCACCCTATCCCACCAGTACCTGAGCAAACAAATTCCCACACAAGCCGGGTAATCTTATTAAATCCCATTTCTTTTCTCTCTCTTCTCTTTTTCATTGCTCCCCGATGTGTAACAAAACCCGGCTCCTTCTCGTCCTGCTCCTCCTTGGAATCCCGCTCCACACATGCAGCGAAGTAACAGAAGGTGCCTTACAGGTCTGGCGGACTCTGCCGGAGCGCATTCGTCAGGATCCCAGTCTTGCGTCCTTTCGCCAGGAGCACGAGCGTCTGCATGGCGGTAAGTCCTGCGTCCTGCCCCCCATCACATAATTTCCTTACTTTTTATGTCTGGCTGTTTGGCCACCTTTTTTATTGCCGTAATTATTGCTGAATTTTTTATTGCCATTTGCGTCGTCGTTTGGCATTGACATTGCGTTTTTTTGTTTTTTTTTTTTCATTTTTGCCTGATTTGCATACCAAAAACTCGAGTCCAAGCTTATCTTCAATTGTTTTGATAGACCCACTATTTGGGGCTTAGAAAATTATAATAATGCCAGGGTTCCAGTCTTTTTCCGGCATATGATGTCAGTTCGCAAGTGGACAAAATCTGCGTTGGGTTCCCTAAATTAGAGGGCTCAGTGGAAACTGGAGGACCAAATTACTCGGTAAATTTGCTTTGAATTGAATATTCGGCACAGTTAATGATTGGTTTACTGCCAAGAGGAATCATCATAGCTCCGAAATATACAAAATATATTGCACTTCATGTAAGATGTGTTCTCTCGAGAAGAAAATTCAAGCATACGGCTTATAGAGTTCGCAGTCCCATGGGCCGAATTAAATGTGTCGTGAACCTTCGAGTTCCTAATGTGCCCTTTTCCGCATCCTTGTCTCCAGCCATCAGTCAGTTGGCCACTCTCTCCGCCAGCTCGCCCATGGCCATTTATGGTTATTTATAGCCTCGACTTGATTACCGCGTGGCTGGGCCAATAAAAGAATACAAAAAGGCAACAGAAGGCAGCTGGGCTAACCCGATTCCTGGCCAAAGTCACATGGCCACAGTTAACCGCCAGTTGTCCTTCCGCGAGCACCGAATGAGTGAATTTTCGCACAAATATTTGCCAATTCCGAGGCGGGGTTAGGTCAATCAGCTGGAAATGTCTTTCATGGGTAACTATTTTTAAATGCATCTATTTTGTACACCGCAGATGTTGACCAGCTGCACGCGGAGGAGTCGGAGGTGCGGGTGCAGAATGGACACCACGAGGAGACGGCGCTGGCCAACCAGCCATTCACACAGATCGGGATCAATGTGACGAACGAGGCGGGTCAGGTGCGGGTACTCGATGGCAGGTTCGTAGTTCTGTGCGCCTCGATTGTCAGTTACGTAATTAGTGCAACCAGTTTTCTGTGATTCCCCGTGCCCATTGCAGGGATCTGGAGAACAACAACGATGATCAGCACGAGGAGGCCGAACCGCATGCCAAAAGTTTGGTATGTACACATCAATGTCAGAGATCATAATCAGAGATATATACCATAATGTATTTATTATTTTTCAGATACGAAAGTATCTCATCTGGTTCAAGATAGCCGTGCTCCTGGTGGTCTGGTGCGTCTTCACCGCCTTCCTGATGTCCAACAACGAGCATGTGGACCAGCTGAGCCTCATAAGTGTTCCTAGGAATAGCTCACCCAGAGTGTTTCCCATTGCCACCGCCAGCCTGCAGAGGATTGGCCTGGGCCTGCGAGGACCCTTCCGGCTGCAGGAGAACGAGCTGACCATCAACGCGAGCGTTCCACTGCCCCTGCTCCAGGTGCAGGTGATGCGCAGCTACTTCGATGGCGAGGGCATGGAGATCTACATCGAGAATGCCAGCCAGGTGTGGCAACTGGACGTGGTCTATCCCGATCTGATAGACGCCACCAGGGACACGAAGAAGCAGCGAACCTTCGAGCTGAGTCCCACTGATCCGTTGTGGTTGGCCCAGGCCAATCGCACGGAGCTGAGCTTCGAGTTCACCAGCTCCATCGAGGGGGAACTGCCGCTCCAGCTGAATGTGGATGAGTCACCCATCTACAAGAGGGACGGAGTCATCTATGCTGCGGCTGTGCTCTGCGGTCTGTATGTGATGATCATCTGGGAGATTGTGAATCGAACCTTTGCTGCCATCATCGCCTCCACTTTGTCGGTTGGCATACTGGCTGCACTGAACTCCAGGCCCTCGATGGCCACCATTATGGGTTGGATCGATGTGGAGACACTGCTGCTGCTCTTCGGCATGATGATCCTGGTGGCCATTCTCTCCGAGACGGGAGTCTTTGACTATCTGGCTGTGTATGCCTACAAGATAACCAACGGACACGTTTGGCCACTCATCAATTGCCTCTGCCTGTTCACCGCTGTGCTGTCCTCCTTCCTGGACAACGTGACCACCGTGCTGCTCATGACTCCGGTGACGATACGACTCTGCGAGGTCATGTGCCTCAATCCGGTGCCCATACTCATGTGCATGGTCATCTACTCGAACATTGGCGGGGCACTGACACCAGTGGGGGATCCGCCCAACGTCATCATAGCCTCGAATAGCTACATATCCAAAAATGTAGGATCATCGGAAACTCTTTTTATATATAGATATTGACATATTTATTCTCCAGGGCGTCAATTTTGCTGTCTTCACCTTGCACATGCTGCCCGGAGTTCTCCTGGTGATGGTGCAGACCTATATCCAGTTGCGCTTCAAGTTTCGCAACATCAGTGATCTGCAGTTCAAGGACTCGCCGGAGGTGGAGGAACTGCGTCACGAGATTCACGTGTGGAAGCGGGCGGCCGCCAGTCTATCTGCCTATTCCAAGGACGAGGAGCTGGTACGGCAGACACTGATGAAGAAGGTGAACCGCCTGAAGAGGAGCCTTAAGAAACGCATGACGGCGGTCATAGAACCGGCACCCAATTACCAACAAACTCTGGCCAATCTTCAGGCAAAGGTGGGTATATCTTAGATATAATACAACTCTTACTTATTATATGTTGGTCATTGCAGTACCCCATTCGCAACAAGCCGCTGCTAATCAAGTGCTCCGCCGCCTTACTTTTTGTGATCAGTTTGTTTTTCCTGCACTCGGTTCCCGAACTCCAAAGACTGTCTTTAGGGTGGACCGCTCTGCTGGGCGCCATATTCCTCATCATTCTGGCGGACATCGAGGACATGGAGGCCATACTGGCTCGCGTGGAATGGTCCACGCTGCTCTTCTTCGCCGCTCTCTTTATTCTCATGGAAGCCCTGACGGAACTGGGACTGATTGAGTGGATCGGCAACATGACCGAGGGCATTATCCTGGGAGTCGGCGAGGATCGGCGCCTGATGGTGGCCATTTTGATCATTCTTTGGGTGGGTTTCGCAGTATATTATGACCGCTATTTTTTTTATATACCACTATTTTCTGTAGGTTTCCGCTGTGGCCTCCGCCTTTGTGGACAACATCCCACTGACCACGATGATGGTCAAGATCACCATATCGCTGGCGCAGAATAGCACCTTGAATCTGCCACTACAGCCTCTGGTTTGGGCCCTGGCCTTGGGCGCCTGTTTGGGAGGTAAGTAGCAGTTCTTTGCTCCACCGGATTATCTAGAATTATGTGCAACAATTTCCTCCAGGCAATGGCACGCTGATCGGCGCCTCTGCCAATGTGGTCTGTGCCGGAGTGGCGGAGCAGCACGGCTACAAGTTCACCTTCCTGCAGTTCTTCAAGTAGGTCTGGGTTATCCTTGCACGGGGACACTGTACTAATTTCAGTTCCCAACCCACAGAGTTGGCTTTCCCATCATGATCGGCAGCATTATTGTCACCACGGGCTACCTGCTCGTTTCGCATTCGCTGTTCGCGTGGCATTGATGAAGGGCCCCCATTGATGACGGAGTTGACTGTGTCGATTCGCAACAAGGCGCACTGTACCTCGTTACCTAACGGACAGAAACTGTTCCAAATGCCACACTCATCCGGTTTCCGATGCCGGAAGCAGCACCAAGCTAGATGGGAACCAACTCCTTATGCGATGGCCATAAGTGTTGGTTCCGGGAAAACAGAGAAACACAGAAACGAAGAATATTACATAAAAATACATTTATTTTTACACGTCGTTGTTAGTGTAGTGTGTAGTATAAATAACATAACAAACAACAACAATTAAGAGAATTAAAATAAATATAAATTAATTATTTACAATTAATAATGTCGCTGAACTGTGAAACAATTGTTAAATGTTAAATGTATGAATACGAATCAAATAAAAACGAAACAAGTAAGCCCAAATAACCCAATAAATGGGTTATTTTAATTACATTTTTTGTTAATGCTGAAGAAAACTCTGAAGAAAGTGTAACTTACATATATGTTTATCATTGCAATTTGCAACATGTAAAGGAACACCCCAAAAGTATGCTACAAATTATAACAAACTATACAAATTTAGAGGCAGCCCCAAAATGTGGATTCCTACTCTGGCAGTCAAAGAGATCGGTTGTGTCGCGCGCATGCAAAAGTGATTTATTTTTTGCTTATCGGTGCATTCCCTTTTGTGCTCAAAATAGCACAAATCATTTATTTGGGCGCTGCTTTGAGCGGTGTCGGCAGTTTGACAAAAACAAAAAGTGCATCAGGTGAAGTGCATTCAAACGGTGCTTTCTGCCCTTCGGGCAAGTCATCTACCTCACCCCGCGCAGAACTGCACAAGAGGTAAACAAACTTTGCTTATCAGTAAAACCGAACTGTTTATGCTCTGTTCCGGACATTTGGGCCCGCAAATTATTTGCTGAATATTAAGACAATATAAAAACAATGAATGAAAACAGTTTCGATGACTCTCAGCTTATAAAGAAGCAGATTGATCATGAAAAAATGTTCTCAATAGCTGGAAAATTACCTAGTAAGATTAGAGACGAGTGCCGATCAGAAATTCAACGCATTACATGCAATAAGTCTCAAAGCAGTCCCACCACAACAACAGTGACATTTTCTAGTGCCAGTAGCAGCACCATATACACAATGGCAAATCCCACAATGAGCAGCATCTGTTCTGGTTCAAGTGTAGCAAACCAAGAATGTTCCCAATTGACCAGCCCCGACATTGCAGCAAAAAATCTAAGCGGTGCTGCCAGAAGATTACTGGATGATCAAAATCGGAAAGCAGGCAAGAGAAAAAATGCAAAGCCACTGTCCCCCATCCTTAAACCGAAAAGAGTGAGCAGTACCCAGGGCCCGCACTTGGTCCCCACAATTAACCAGAAGGCAAGCTCTAGTAACAGGTTTGCTATTCTCGACACGGACATCATTACTAATGAAGAAAACGGGGAAGACATGATGTCTGAGGATGCCGATGATGCTAGTGCCCGCATGGACGAATTTCAATCTGCAGAAAACAATACTGCCAATAAATCCCAGGAAACATCTAACGCCAACAATCAACTCAAAGATTTTAAAAAACCACCCCAAATTGTTGTTAATATTAGCAACTTAAATGACCTATTTGAGCTCATACAAGAAAAGGCAAGTCTAGATAACGTCGTAGTCAAAGCTAACCAAGGGGAAACAGTCAGAATATTTCCCAAAGACAGTGACACTTACAGAAAAATTGTTAGCTATATGGATGAAATTGGTATGCAGTTTCACACTTACCAAATGCTGACAGAAAAAGCACACAGAATTGTAGTAAGGGACTTACATCACAGCACACAAAACAAAGATATAACGGCCGATCTGAAATGTTTAGGCTATGAAGTACTTCACATTCACAACCCTAGTTCAAGGGTTAATAAAGATGAAAAACTCAATATTTTTTTCATTAACATTAAGCCCTGCCCTAATATTAATGAAATTTATCACGTGAAGACCCTTTGCCGACAGAAAATACGGATCGAAAGGATGCGAAAGTCTAGTGAAATTGCACAATGTCGACGTTGCCAGGAGTATGGCCATACAGCTAAATACTGCCGCAGACATCCAAATTGTGCCAGGTGTGGTGAAAATCACCAAACCACACAATGTACACGTCCTGTAGATGCTCTGCCCACATGCTATCACTGTTCTCACGATCACATGGCTAGTTATAAAGGTTGCCATAAGTACCAGGAGCTTCTCCGCAGATCTATGGGGCCTGCGAAGAAGGCGAATCACTTAAATAGGCAGAATCATGGGTTCAACCATAGAGATCAGCAACAGTTTCCTTCCGTGCAGATTAATCGCCGTAAGAGTACTAACCAGTCAACTGAAGATCAGCAACCAACACAACAACACCAAAATATGGTACAGCATCAACCATCTATAGGCCCTGGGGTAAATACAAAAGTATCCTATGCCACAGTAGCAAAAGAATACTCTAATACAACTCCCTCCAAGGATGGACCAGCTCAGCGACGTTTATATAACTTACAAACGCAACAGTTATCGCAGCAACAACGACTGAACACTCAGCAAAATAATTCACTTGACGTCCAAGCATTGTTACAACAGCAACAACAACAGTTCCAAGAATGGCAGCAGCAAATGCAACAACAACAACAACATCAGTTTCTTATGTGGTTGCAACAGCAGCAACAAGATCAGCAACATCACAGAAATCAAACCAATCAACGACTTGAAAAGCTCGAAAGAATGGTATTTGAAATAACCACCATGTTAAAGCAAGGAGCTGGGAATGAACATACCTACCAGCTTTCTAACAACGCTCCACACCCACAATGAATCCACTAAAGATTCTTATTTGGAATGCCAACGGCATTTCAAGAAAAGCTAAAGATATTGAGCTTTACGCGCACAATAATAGCGTGGACATTCTTCTTGTGACGGAACTTAGAATTAAAAGAGGGGATACTGTTAAGATATATGGTTATGCTTTCTATCCAGCATTTAGGCCATCGCAAAATAATAATAGCGTTGGTGGAGCAGCCGTGTTCGTTAGGACAACTCTTCGCCATTTCCCGCAAAGGGTCATAGAGACACGCAGCATACAAATGTCTACAGTAAAAGTAGCTACAGGACTGGGTGACGTGCAGTTCGGCGCCATTTACTGTCCTCCCAGTGTTAGTATCGACGAAAGACAATTTACTGACACAATACGCTCTTGCGGCCAACGGTATATGATTGGTGGCGACTGGAACGCCCGACACTGGCTTTGGGGCGACACCTACAATTCACCCCGGGGGCGTGAGCTAGCGGAAGCCATCTCTATCACTGGAGCTAAGATACTTGCAACTGGTTCGCCAACCAGGTATCCTTATGTACCCAGTCATACGCCTTCCTGCATTGACTTCGCGGTGCATCATGGTATACCAGATTCCCTAACAAGTATAACACAAAGTTGGGATCTGGACTCCGATCACTTGCCTTTGATCATCAGTATTGTGACAGATAGTACCCATGTGAATCCAAGTCCACGATTAGTCAACAAGCACACTGACCCGCTCGCTTTTAGTCAACAACTGGAGAGCATGATCCCGTTGAACATCACGCTAAATTCTGGTGAAGAAATTGAAATGGCTGTTGATCACCTTACGCAAAGTATTCACAGGGCTGCGACTGCATCTACGCCTTCTGTTCCTCGGACAGGCACCCCCTATGGAATATCCCTAACAAGAGAGGCTAGAGAGCTCCTGACACAGAAAAGGAGACTCAGAAGGCGAGCAATCCGATCTCAAGATCCCTGGGACCGCATCTTATGGAACCGTGCTGCAAAACAACTACGAAATGTGGTAAGAGACCTTCGAAGTATCTTTTTTGAGCAGAAGCTGGCTTCTATGGACTATACGGTGGATGCTGGGTATTCACTCTGGAAGTCCACCAAATCCCTCAAAAGACAACCGTTCAGACAGGTACCCATTAGATGCCCGGGAGGTGAACTTGCTAAAAACGAGGAGGAACAGGCCAATTCCTTTGCAAATCATTTGGAGACTAGGTTCACCCATTACCAATTCGCTACAATGGAGCAGAATCGAGAGACGCTTGACAGCCTAGAGATACCCCTACAAATGTCGCTACCAATTAAACCAATCAGGGTTGAGGAAATTGCCGAAGTCATTAAATCAATGCCAATAAAGAAGACTCCTGGCATCGACAATGTCTGTAATGCCACGTTAAAAGCGCTACCTCTCCGAGCCATCCTATACATGGCGAAAATATTTAATGCTATATTTAGGGTGCAGTCCTTCCCAAAGCAGTGGAAAATGGCAGCAATTCTCATGATACATAAGCCTGGGAAACCTGAAGAGGATCCGGAATCGTATCGGCCCATAAGTCTGCTGTCTTCGCTATCCAAGATATGGGAAAGGCTGATTGCCAACAGACTAGGTGACTTTATTAAGGAGCGCCGTATCCTCCCAGATCACCAGTTTGGATTTCGACAGGGACACAGCACTGTGGAGCAGGTTCACAGACTGGTTAAGCACATTATTCAGGCGTTTGACGACTTGGAATACTGCAATGCTGTATTTATTGACATGCAGCAAGCATTTGACAGAGTCTGGCATATCGGCCTACTCTGCAAAATAAAAAAGCTGCTTCCAGCACCATACTATGGAGTCCTGAAATCTTACCTGGAAGATAGGAAGTTCATGGTCAGGGTCAGAAGCACCTACTCAACCCCTTGCTACATGAGAGCTGGAGTTCCGCAGGGCAGCGTCCTCGGCCCGCTGCTCTACTCAATATTTACCGCGGATTTGCCTTGCCCAAATATGCACCATATGGAAGCTCCCAGGAAGGCCCTACTCGCCACTTACGCTGACGATATCGCACTGTTATACAGCTCCAGTTCTTGCACTGAGGCAGCACGTGGCCTCCAAGAGTATCTCAATACTTTGGCTGCATGGTGCAAAAGATGGAACTTAAAGGTAAATCCACATAAGACCATCAATCCTTGTTTCACCTTGAAGACTCTCATTAGGCGCACACCACCCATACAATTTGATGGCGTAACCCTAGAACAACCTCTGCAGGCTAAATACCTTGGGATCACCCTTGACAAACGGTTGACCTTTGGCCCACACTTAAAAGCTGCGGCACGGAGATGCGGTCAGAGAATGCAACAACTGCGATGGTTGATCAACAGAAGAAGCACCATGACACTTAGAGCCAAAAGGGCAGTATACGCCCACTGTATAGCCCCGATCTGGCTATATGGAGTGCAGATCTGGGGTATTGCTGCAAAATCGAACTATAAACGCATTGAGGTCTTGCAAAATCGTGCAATGCGTGCCATCACCAACTGCCCATACTATGTACGTAGCTCAACCCTTCATCGGGACCTTAATCTGCATACAGTGGAAGAACAGATCTCAAGGCACACAAGCAGATACAGTGATAGGCTTAAAAGACACCACAGCATGCTAGCAAGACGCCTACT